GGTTGTATTTTTGGGAAGCTAACAAGTGGTTAACTCGCCTACATAAGGTTCAAAACAAAAAAGAAAAGAAAAAATATAGAAAAAACTATGTTCTGCTTGGCTACAAACCAAGATTATCTTACAGGCAAATAAAAGCCAGATCCATTTAGTCCACTATTTCTTTCTGCAGTTGCCTACCTTACACTACAAGTTTGATCATTTACTGACAGCAGGTTGTACTCAAAATTTCACATTGGAGAAAACATGATGCAGACAGAAATTTGAACTAAAACACGAGAATATAATTACAGAGAAGAATAGTTCCCAATTCCAACATTTCCATTTCCGTGTCACTTTTTAGAGACAAAAATGAAATCTCTACGAAAATAATGTGGAACGGCTCATGCAGAACTTGAACCAGCATCAGCTGTAGCTCTTTTCTTTGCGAAGTACTCGTCAGCACGAGCAACGTTCTTTGCAACTGAAGGTTTCACCCACTTCTTACGACCAGGCAGTATAGTTAGAGTGCAACCAGCCGCCTCAAGGTTCTCTTTTGCTGCTGATGAAAAGGCTCGTGCCTTCACGTTCAACTTGATGGCCACATCCCCATCGCCCAAAATCTAGACGAAAAGTTGAAGAATGAGGATTTACAATGGTTTTCAAATGAAAGTAGAGGTAAATAAGTGAAGGCAAAGTTAAGCTTTCTTTTTTTAAAATAATAATAATAAAAATAATAATAATAATAATAATAATAATAATAAACAACCCACCCACACTTCCCTTCAACCATGTGGGGCTTCACCTTAACACCAGGGGCACATCCCTTCAACACGAGGAAGACTGAAGGGGACTCAAACCTAGGACCAAAAAAAAAATAATAATAATAAAAATAATAATAATAATAATAATAATAATAATAAACAACCCACCCACACTTCCCTTCAACCATGTGGGGCTTCACCTTAACACCAGGGGCACATCCCTTCAACACGAGGAAGACTGAAGGGGACTCAAACCTAGGAACACACAGCGGCCCGAGTGAACTGACCAAGTTAAACTCTGGTCTGTGCTCCCCACCTTTGTATCCCTGATGCATACAGGTGAATACGGGCAAGGATTCAAACACAGGCCATCAGTGGTCTCACGCCCCAAAGCCAAAGGCACCTGACCACCTGTGTCCACCCTTCGGTGGTGCAAAGTTAATGTTAAAATAGTTAATTAAATGAAATTTGCTTATTGATTATTGTTTTGGAGTTGTAACTTACATCTCTTAGTTTTGTGATTGGTGTTTTTCAACTTCTTCCAGGTTATAAGTTGGCTTGTAGTTGGTAATATTATTGTGTCGAGTGTTAGAACAACGTACTACAGCATTACCACATATCGGTCACCATTTCCTCTGTTGAGAGCTGCGGAAGCCAAACAACCAAATCAACGTGCTACGAGAAATCAAATCAAACGAACGTCGAGAGAAGGCCAAACGAACCAAATCAATACCACAAACATAAACAACCAATTTTAACGTGGTTTGACAAGTTGACTACGTCCACGGGGCAAGAAGGGGATAGGGTTTTTCACTAATAGAGAAGAAGAGTACAAACTGAGATTACAAATCACTCAAACTCACCAATTAATCTCACCAATAAATCTTCAATTCTCTCCAAACAAAACTCTAACCAATAGCTTAGAAAATACATCTTTTCTGTGCTGCAAATATCCTCAATTTTTTTCTTAATTCTCTCTTCCAATTGTTCCATATATATAGAAATCATAAAATCATAAACATACTAGGAATTCTAAAACAAAAAACAAAACAGATTTGGAATCCTAATAATCTGTTACCAAAACAGATTAGGAATTTCAATAACCTGTTAACAAAACAAATTAGGAAACATATTAGGAACCTGCTATCCAACACTTTAATGGGAAACAACACGCTAATTATAATCATTCCAACAGAGCAAATGGATCCCAAGTGAAGCTGTTGATATCACAAGCGCCACCAGAGATGCGAACACCATCGTTGTCACAATCTTCAGACCACTGAAAGCAGAATCACATAACTAGTGTTAGTATATATCCAGAACTGAACACGTATATATATATCACTTTCTCTAGCAAAGTAACAGTTTTACCAAATCTTAAATCGGTTCTCTGGAGCACCAGTAGAGTAGCCTTTGAAGTAGAAGAAGCGCCCCATGATGTAATCTAGGCCAAATCCAGCACACATCGTAGGATACTGAAGCCCACCTACGAGCAGAAGTGCGAAGAAAATTGGCATCATCTCCTGAGAATTCTGGTGCCCTCGCTGCCTCAAAGTAGTACAGATGAGCAATTTGAAAGCATGTGGAAGATTAAACAGAACGAGTTAGCAAACCTGGACACAGTTAAAGAGCTTGGCATCCTTGTTCTCAGACTCTATAGCGTGTACAGTCGGATGAAACACCTTATACCTGAGATTAGTTCACATAAAGTTTAGATTTCTAGCGTAAATAAAGATGAAAAAGATTATGAAATATGATTAAGGGAGTACTTCCTCCTTGCTTTGAGAACTTGAGAGCCCATCCAGAAGTCGAAGAAAGCGTAGAATATGAGCACAAATATGACGTAGCCATACTCTTTTGGGACTTCAATCGCTACCATCTTCTCTCTTTTGTATGACAATTCTAGTGTTTACGATGCTGTTTAGATTTGTTCAGCGAGGTTTCCTGGGATTTCTGTATGGGCTTATATAATTACAGAAGACTGATCTTGATGCAGAGTTAGCGTTAAGATAATGAAGTCAACTGTTGAATGATGTATGAATGTTAGAGAGAATTGCCATTTCAACTGAGTTCCTTCCAGCCCAAGGAAATATGACCACTGACTGAGTTCATGAAAAGTACTAATCCTAAAAAAATGGGAGCAGGTAAAGTTCAAACCTCATATTTTAAAGCTATAATATAAAGCTGCACAACTAAGTTGGTCAAATACAGTTTCTAACACAGTAAATAGTTCATTAATCAATTAGGAATTAATCCTCTTATTTCTAAGTCATCACTGTGACTTGTATAAGCGGTTAGGGACTAAGATATTTCTTAAACATAGCTTGATAGTCAAATTAATTCAAAAACTTTACCTATTAGAAATCACACCCAATTTTACTTTTCTATCATTCTTTCAGTTGTGGACTATACTTATACGTGAATTTCTAACATCGCGACTGTAACTTTGAGGAATTTGTGCTGCATGTCTTCTCTAATTTTCCGGCCCTCCTGCACATCTCCATACATATTTTCGTCATTCACACAAAACTATAAATAAATTTATGCCCATTTTCTTAAAATGTGTTTGATTGTTTAAAGCTTTAGAATTAGCTGTATGAAAAAGTATTATTCTGATGAAAGGTCTAAAATTATTTAATTAGCTTTCTCTATCAGCATCATATATATAGTAACGATATATTTAATTTCAAGCTTCCTCTATACTATATATTATCGACTTATTATCGGCTGTTAAGATTTAGGCACGAAACGATGTCAATAAATGTATAGTGGCAGTTATGATAAATGTATAGTGGCATTTTGTCTAAGTTCACCAGATAGAAAGAAGGCAATAATCGGCAACTATGTCTAATCTATGTCCTAAGCATGCATAAAGGAGGACTTGATATTATCAACGACCAAGATAATGAAGCAATTCCTTTCGTGGTACCTAGAAAATTTGTTGTGGATTTCCAACATGCCCCCCATAAACATAAAGGTGCTTAATTGTTGGTTTTTGATGGATAAGTCCTGTCTCTAGATCAACAACAAGATGACAGTCACGCGCTTCGGAATTTTGATGGTCATGTACGATTAATGTTGCATTATGGAAGAGATGGGGGGAGAAAAGAATTAAAGCATCTTACAGGACTCTCAGAACTATGACAACAAATTTGCAGTTTTCTACACTTTCAACATTGTTTTCTTACAAAAATATTTATAATTTCAACAACCATCTGAGCATAATTGAGGAGAACCTGGTCAATCTCTTGAGAAGATCCAACGAAAGATCTTCGGGCACCATCTGTGTTGCATGATTTTCCCCCCTCCGTTGCTAAAATATTCTATTATCTTGTTACTTGCATGTTTCAGTTGTATTTCTTACTCACTTCCATCATTTGCATTATCATCGACAACCATACATAAACAATAAACAAACTTGACGTGTTCATAAAGGATAAACCCCAAATTGACTAGAAAAAACTTTTACTAACCTCAATTGTAGATGGTATGCTAGTTTGAAAGTTTGCGGTACTTTCCACTAATGAAACTAGTGCACGGTATTTTTGTGCCGAACATGTTTATGAAGTTTACCCGTTTCCTTATTTTCATCGCTGAAACTGTATATGATCCTTCTTTGGTGGACATCCCTTGTTTCTTCTCTGTTCTCACGCTTCATTAATACCATCCATGTTTCTGTCGTATTTCTTTCTTGTTCTCCATTATTCTGGCTGATCTCCGCCTGAATTGATGAGCAAAGTGGAACAGCCCTGTCAGGCGCCTAACCTTTTTGACCCAGCGAACATGAAAACAAAAGTGGGGCCCACAAAGGCGGGCCCCACAAGAAGAAAAATCAAATTCGGTGGCAGCCATTGTTGAGAATTTATAAAGGATGTGGGTCCCACAAATATTTTATTATTAGTGGCGGGTCCCACATATAATATTATATTTGTGCATAGTGTTTTCTCAAACACTATAAATAGGGCCCTAAACTCTTAAGGAAATCTCATCCCAGAAACAACTCCTCTTATAGAAGAGTAAGAGAAAACAAAGAGAGAGTTTGTGAGAGTTCTTGGAGTGTATCTGATCAAGAGAGGGTGTTCTCTTGGATCAATTCTTTTGGGATATTAAAGAATTTGGCGTCGTCGTTGCACCGTGGAGTAGCTCCGAAGGAGTGAACCACGTATATCTGTGAGTACTCTGTGTTGAATTTTGTGCCTTTATTTTGTGATTAAGTCTCCGTTCGAGGCGTTATTATTGGGGTGAATCCTAACAATTATACCACCATCTTGGGGAAACCTCACAAATCTGCAAGAATTAGACCTTAGCAACAACATCATCCACGGGGTTCTCCCTGAGGAATTGGGTCGTCTTTTCAAGCTCGAGAGGTTGCTTCTTAGTGAGACATATGATATTACTGGACCTATACCGATATCCCTCTCAAATATTACATCTCTCAGGTTTTTGATCCTTCCGTACAACAAACTTACTGGACCGGTACGTGTCCACTTTGGGAATATGCCTCGCCTCCAAACTTTGTTTCTGCCAGGGAATATGCTAAGTGGTGGGTTGGACTTCCTAGGGCCTCTTGCAAACTGCAGGTTCTTAAAATTTTTGAACTTGCGGGATAACGAACTGGAGGGTAATCTTCCAACTAATGTAGGTAATCTCTCAACAATTCTTAGGGCATTTGTTGTCTATGGAAATCATTTAGTGGGAAAAATTCCTGTTGGACTGGGCAATCTGTCTAGCTTGCTGTCTCTAGCCTTGGGCTACAATAATCTGGTTGGAGCAATACCAACTGAAATCACAATGCTAGAAGGCCTTCAGTGGCTAGGGCTTGAGAGTAACAGGATATCTGGGTTCATCCCACAAGAATTCGGCCGATTAAGATACTTGTACAAACTTCACCTTGACGGAAACAACCTTTCTGGATCCATACCTGACTCAATGGGAAATATCAGTGGTCTACAGCACCTGAAACTGAGTGCCAATGCATTATCTTCAGGAATTCCGCAAAGCTTGTGGAGTATGACTAGCCTACTTGAATTAAACCTATCACGTAACTTTCTCACTGGATCAGTTTCTTCAGCGGTGGGAAACATCATGTCCTTAGACACGTTCGATATGTCAATGAATCAGTTATCAGGTGAGCTTCCAAGCACTTTAAAAGAGCTCCAACTGCTAAGATTTTTGGATCTTTCAAACAACTACTTTACTGGTCAAATTCCTCGATCCTTCAGTGAGCTTATTAGTATTGAGGCTTTAAACCTTTCGTGCAACACTCTCTCAGGAGAAATACCTGAATCCTTAGCCAATCTCTTGTACCTCCGCAGTATCAACCTGTCTTTTAACAAGTTGGAAGGAAAAATTCCAAGAAAAGGTGCCTTTTCGAGTATCGCTCTCTCATCTTTAGTAGGGAATGCTGGACTATGTGGAGCGCCCAGTCTAGGCTTTTCACCTTGCTTTACAAATCCACGCTCAGGACTTTATTTGCTAAAGTATATCCTCCCTCCTATTGCTCTCATTGTAATCCTTTTTGTTTGTCTTTGCATCATCTTGAAATCGTATTGGAAACAAACAAGTGGAACATCACCTGCAAACACTTATCCAAATAACTATAGATTGATCTCATACCATGAGCTTGTTCGTGCCACTGGAAATTTCAGTGAGGTGAACTTATTGGGAAGAGGGGGCTATGGGTCTGTCTACAAAGGATATTTAGATGATGGTCTACTCACTGCAATAAAAGTATTGAATTTGGAAGTTCCTGGAGCTTCGAGGAGTTTTGATGTTGAATGTCATGCTTTGAGCATGGTTCGCCACAGAAATCTTGTCAAACTCCTAAGTACTTGTTCCAACGTGGATTTCAGGGCACTCGTCCTCCAATTCATGCCTAATGGTAGCCTTGAAAGATGGCTCTACTCCCATAACTACTGCTTGAGCTTACTTCAAAGGATTAACATAGTAATCGATGTAGCTTCAGCTCTGGAATATCTTCATCACCACCACCCTGAGGTCACACTGCATTGTGATCTGAAACCGAGCAACATTCTTCTTGATGAAGAAATGACTGCACGTGTAAGCGACTTTGGAATTGCAAGACTATTGGTAGGTGATAGCTGGGGAGTCATGTCAGCCAGCACCCTAGGAACAGTTGGGTATACAGCTCCAGGTAGAAAAAAAAAATTACAAAATTTCACTCAAATATACCACGACTAGCATCTTTCACGTCTTCTAATTTGTTGCGTATGTGTGGAATAGAGTATGCAATTACAGGAGGAGTCTCGAGAAAGGGAGATGTTTATAGCTTTGGAATATTGTTGCTAGAAATCTTCACAAGGAAAAAACCTACTGATCCTATGTTTGTTGGGGAATTCAACATGAGGCGATGGGTATGTGAAGCATATCCTACAGCTCTGCTTGAAATTGTGGACCGTAATCTTTGGAAAGATGGGTCTGGAATTGAAAGGCCAAGTGAATATATAACTCCCATGTGTGCATGTCTGTCTTCAATGATAAAACTGGGCATAATCTGTTCAAGAGACTCGCCGAAAGAAAGGCTATTGATGACACAAGTTGCTCCGGAATTGCATAAGATCAAAATGGAGTATTTATCAGCACTCCACAAAGTTTGAAGCAGGGCGTAATTTTCTGTAGCATCTGGGAAGTAACTTTTGGTGGAATCAAATTTACCCATCATACAACTGTCAGCTAAGAACACACTTTGGAGAATTTCGTTTGCTTGTTGAGTTTTTATGGTATACCCTGCTTATTTGTTTGTTTATTTTTGTTCTTCTTTTCTTTTAATTTTTTTCTTCTAAAGAAATGTAGCCTAGTGACCTGCATTTCTTAATAATTGCGGAATTTGGCCTCCTTGTTCTCCTTTCTACTACAATACATTATCACGAACCTAATTCTTTTGTCATCTTGTTATGTTATATTGCTTGATTGTTCTGTCAGTTAGATAATTAATTTTTGTTATAAAAAAATGTAGAACAAACTTCTTAACCTTACGTTTTTCCTCATATTGGAGAGTAACATATGCTGCATCATTTTATACACAAATCATTTCAGCTTATCAGAAAACTAACGTAGGCATGATGACTGAAAACTTATATATTTGTTGTTGACATATTAGTATAGTTAAGGGTCTTATTTGTAAACTGTGTTTGTAGGGCCTATATAAGCTCATGCTATCTTATCTATGGAATTAGGGTTTCATATTCTTTATGGTATCAGAGCAAGGTCCAAAACCCTAGCCGCCATCCCCCTCTCACCCATCCGACCCCCCTAGCCGCCACCCTCTCTCACGGCCTATGATGCACGGACACGGATACGGGACACGGATACGACACGGACACGGATACGGGATACGGAAAAATCCAAAAAAATAGGATACGGAGATACGGCGAGGAATTTTTTTTCAAATTATTATTATATATAGAAAATTTTATAAAATTCAACTAACAATCTAAATTATGAATCTATCATAAATAACAAATTTGTAAACCACCATGTTGAACCTCGAGTTTGACATGGATTCCCTCGACTCAGTCCTCGAACTGATGACAGGAAGAGTATATATCTCACTGCGATGAGAAATATTACTGTTTTTTTATTCTTGTTTCCTCTGAGAGACGAGAATTTGTCTGAGATCTTACTCTTGTTGTGCGGCAGAGATGCTGCCGAAATTTTCACTGCACACAACAAGGGTCGGAAGAGAAGGAGACCAGGTGTTGGGTCTGAAGCTTGATCAATGGAGGAGATTATCAAGAAGTTGAACCTTGCGGAGGTGTCGACTTTGATGAAGTTGATGAAATTGTCGGCTGGTGAGAACGCGACAAAAACATCCAAGAAGTTGGAACTTCCTGCTATAGATCTGAAGCTTGATGGACCGGGTACTTACCTGAGCTGGTCGCGGCGAGTGAGATACACCCTTGCAGGGAGGAACCTGGAGGGTTACTTGACAGGAGAGGCGACAGAACCGGAGAAGGACTCGGAGGGAAGAGATGAGTGGAAGTCCACTCATATGTTGGTGTACATCTGGCTTCTCAACTCGTTGGTCCCGACGATCGCCGTCACGGTGGATGGCATTGAGAAGGCGAATGACGTCTGGGAGAAGTTGAGGAGGACATATGATAGAGTGGGGAATAACCTGAGGGTATTCCAGATCAAAGGAGAGATCGACGTCACAGTCCAGGGAGAGAGGACTGTACAGGAATATGCTACAGAGCTGGAGCGTCTGTGGCTGGATTATGATCATTTTTCTCCCCGGGCTAGCTGTAAGGACCCGGGATGTAAAGAGCGGGAGGCCTTTCTACAAGAGAGGACTATGGTGTTTCTTAAAGGATTGACATCAGAGTTCGCTCAGCGAATCGCATTGCTGCTAGCTCAGCCGAAGATTCCCACGCTTGAGGAGGCTGTCTCTGCTATGATCCAGGAGGAGACTCGCATTCGGCTGCAGGCGGGGACAGGTGGACTTCCTGTGGTGAAGTCAGCACTGGTAGCCTCTAACAACACTGGATCTAGGGGAGAGACCCGACAGTGTTACAACTGCGGTGCGGTAGGTCATCTAATACATGCTTGCACCAAGCCATCCAAGGAAGGAGATTCGGGTGGACGTGGACAGTTCGGAGGTCGTGGTCGTGGCCGTGGGGGTCGACGAGGTGGAAGAGGAGCAGGAAATCGGGCGAATCTGACGGTAGCAGAAGAAGAAGAAGCTGAGGTGATCTTTACTGAGGAAGACAGTGCTCTCCTGGCGATACTAAGGAAGAAACAACAAGGCATCCACGTCATTCTTCGCCAGAGGCAATACTGCTACCTATGCTCATCCGACCAAAGGTACTGATGACATACATGCTCTTGCTTCTATGTCTCCTGACAGATCATCAGCATGGATAGTCGACTCCGGTACGTCTCGTCATGTGACAGGTAATGCTAGTGAGTTCTCATCATATACTCACTTAGCATCGACTGATAGTATTCAAACAGCTGATGGTACATTTCAGCCTGTGGTTGGTAAGGGTACAGTTGATTATACTGGTTCTGTAACTTTGTCCAATGTTTTGCATGCTCCTTCCTTTCCAGTCAATCTTTTGTCCATTAGTTCTATCATCCTTCAACTAAAATGCATTGTTTCTTTTGATATTCCCAAGGTGATTTTCCAGGAGAAGGGGACAGGGCGAAGACTTGGGACTGGCACATGGCGTAGTGGACTGTGGTATCTGGATCATGAAGGGCTGGATTCAGCATTGGTGTCAGTCATAGAGGAAGCAGGAGTAGGATCTAAAATGAGTGCTGAAAATGAGTTAATGCTTCATCACCAGCGTTTGGGACACTCATCCTTTAGTGTTTTAGGTAGATTGTATCCTTCGTTATTTGAGAAAGCAAATAAACAGAAACTTGTGTGTGATGCATGTGAGTTTGGAAAGCTTACTAGAACCTCTTATGTTAGTTCTGGTCATAGAAGTTCTCATGCATTTGACTTGGTACATTCAGACGTTTGGGGGCCTTGTTCCACAAGTTCTATGAATGGATATAAATATTTTGTTACATTTATTGATTGCTTCTCTCGTGTTACTTGGTTATACCTGATGAAGAATAAGAGTGATGTGTTTGGGTGCTTTCAAAACTTTCATAGGACTGTTCAGACTCAATACGGAGCAGTTGTGAAAGTATTGAGGTCAGATAATGGGACAGAGTATATCAACAGAACGTTTGAAGAATATTTGTCAGCTCAAGGAATACATCACCAGACTACCTGTCCATACACACCAGCTCATAATGGGGTAGCGGAAAGGAAGAACCGACATCTCTTAGAGGTTGCTAGAAGCATGATGATCTCTATGAATGTCCCAGAAACATTATGGGGACAAGCAGTATTGACCGCAGCAGCGCTGATCAACAGAATGCCCTCGAGAGTGCTGGATTGGAAGTCTCCGTGTGAGATATTGAAGGGAGATAATGGTGGGATTCTTCCACTTAAAGTGTTTGGCTGTGTGTGCTTTGTGAAGGACAACAGGCCATCTGTCGGGAAGCTTTCCCCTAGAGCTGTGAAGTGCATCTTTGTGGGATATTCTGCTACTCAGAAGGGATATGTTTGCTGGAGCCCAGTGGAGAAAAGGTTGTTTGTGAGCATGGATATGCACTTTCGAGAACTCGAGCCGTATTACACCCAGAAGGTAACTTCATCCGCTAGTAACTCGCCTAATACTAGAAGTATGAGGTGAGAGGAGGAGAATAGTGAGAGATCGGTGAACAATGTGGAGAAATCCATTTCTGTATCGATTCCTTGGGAAGAAGAATTGGTTGAGGAGGAGCAGGAGAATGATGAAGAAAAGAAAAATGAGACAAGATGTGTTAGGCCCACTTTTCAGGGGGAACTACTAACCTATAGTAGGAAGGACAAGCAAATTGCAGGAACAGTACCTACAGTGCCACTAGTGCTGCCAAGTCTCTTGCCAACGCCTGCCCCGACTCCTGAAACACCTACACCACCACCAGTTTTATCCCAAGGTGATAACGTTCCTCTCCCTACTGATAACATTCCTCTCCCTACTCCTCCCACACTAATATCAGTACGGAGGACTACTCGTAGTAATGCGGGAAATCCCCCCGATAGATATGATTAGGATCTTGCCTAATTTGTATCATATTCTAATATCCACCCTGCACATGGGGCATTCATTGCATCATTGGACTCTGTTACTGTACCTAACAATTGGCAGGTTGCTAAGAAGGACCCAAAATGGAAAGCGGCTATGCACGAGGAGTTAGGGGCTCTTGAGAAGAACCGCACTTGGGAGCTAGTAAAACTACCAGAAGGAAAGAGAGCAGTTGGATGTAAGTGGGTCTTCACTGTGAAGCAGAATCCAGATGGGCAAGTTGAACGCTACAAGGCTCGTCTGGTGGCAAAAGGGTATAGTCAGACATATGGCATCGATTATGATGAGACTTTTACACCGGTGGCAAAGATGAGCACTGTTCGGACCTTAATCTCTCTGGCAGTAAATGGTGGATGGAAGCTACACCAACTAGATGTGAAGAACGCATTTCTTCATGGAGATCTAGTGGAGGAGGTATACATGGAGATACCACCAGGATTCGGTACAGATCAGACAGTGGGAAAGGTCTGCAGATTGAAGAAGTCTCTCTATGGTCTGAAGCAATCTCCCCGTGCTTGGTTCGACAGATTCAGAAGGGCTATGATTGGTATGGGATACCAACAGATCAACGCCGACCATACAGTGTTCTTTCGACGGAGTGGAGGCCACATTACTATGCTTGCGGTATATGTGGATGATATGATTATTACAGGGGATGATGAGAAGGAGATTGCCCAACTCAAAGTGAGACTGGGTAAGGAATTCGAGGTGAAAGATCTTGGCTTGCTTCGATACTTTCTTGGAATAGAGATAGCTCGAGGAGCGGAGGGAATCGTCCTATCCCAGAGAAAGTATGCACTGGATCTTCTCAAAGAGACAGGAATGTTAGGGTGCAAACCTGCAACTACACCGATCGACCAGAAGTTCAAGCTAGGTGCTGAGGCTGGAGAACCAGTTGATCGTGACAGATATCAGAGGTTGGTGGGAAGGCTGATCTATTTGAGTCACACACGTCCCGATATCTCCTTTGCAGTAAGCGTGGTGAGTCGCTACATGCACGATCCGAGGAAGGGTCATATGGACGCTGTGTACCAGATTCTGAGATATTTAAAGAGTGCCCCCGGAAAGGGGCTGATATTCAGAAAGAATGGACATGTGAACATCGAGGGTTATTGCGACTCTGACTGGGCTAGCTGTGCTGATGACAGGAGGTCCACCTCAGGATATTGCATCTTTATAGGAGGTAACTTAGTCTCGTGGAAGAGCAAGAAGCAGTCAGTGGTGGCGAGATCGACAGC